AACAAATTTTCGCAATCTTTTTTTTAACAAACGGTAATGAAGTTCAATTACACAGAGTATCAGAATGGTTGTGAATGAAAAAAAAAAGACTGCTGTAAAGGCAGTTTTGCAGTGAATTTGTTGTCTAAGTTTGAGGCTTCGACAAAATATGTTTTTTCAACTGCTCCTTAGATGTTCAAAAATAATTGAAAGTCTGTTAATACCAAAGCGATTTCTGAATTGCTAGACATCGGTTTTCAGACGAGCAATTTGACTATTTCGTCTGCACCCAAAACCTCTCACAGTTTAGCAAATCTACCCAATGACGCCTTTTAAAGCTTTTTGGCTTGAATTTTCTGAAAATAAAAAGTTGCAGATTGATGTATATTTTTAGATGAAAAAGTGCAAATTACTTTGGTACTAAATAGGACTTTTCAAAACTATATCATAAATGTAGAATTGTCAAGGTTACTGAGTGAGAAGTATCTAGTTTGAGTACTTTAAAAAATAAGTTCGTTTTTATGTTTTTAGCAAAAAAGCTATTGTCTACATAATAAACGGCTTGCCGAGACATTTTGTTTTCAATTTGTCCAAATCTTCACAATCGTGTAATATGTACGTTAAAATGTTGTAAATTTTAACACTGTTTAGCTTCTTGATAAAACTATTGCTGACGTTAGACAAGAATATTCAGCAATTCTTGGTCTTTTCGACATGCTTTTCCATCAGTGGAAACAACTGATGCGGACTGCAAGAAGGACGAAAGTTTAACTTAGGAAAACAACGTATTAAATTTGAAAATTTTAGATAAGTCACGTTGTTAAAGCGTGTAGGTGTGTAATTTTTAAACTTTTTGCATAACGTCACCAGTAATTGAAATGACTGCATAAAATTTGGTGAAATTTTGACAGTTTAACGTGATGTCACCTAACAAAAGAAAGAAATTTTTTTTTGCTAACAGAAACTCTTCTGTCTTTAAATTCCTCATACCCATCTCATCGGTAAGGACTGATTAACAAGGACAGCAAATTGCTTAGTCGATTATTAAAATGCTTTTTGTTCAAAAATTGCGCAGAACTTCGGATTTTTTTAGCCCAACTTTTTGCTTTCCATTACGCAATTAGAACTATTTGTCGCAGTTTACGGAAAGTTGATCGACAAAGTTTTTTGCTATTTCGTTAGTGACCAGCAAAGATTCAATGATCAACGTTAATGTAAAGCGTGAAATGGTAAAGAATCAAAAACGCTGTCATTCAGCTTTTGTCATTTGATGTTCCTTAGTGGTCACAGTGGTTTTTCTTTTCAAAGTGGTTAAGCAGAACATTGTTGAGACTGATTATCGCAAAATGCTCTGAAAGTTTCTAGTAAAGTCAAATGAAAGGCAGCAATAAATTATAAATCTTTAGTTTAAACAGATCTAGACACATTTTCTTTCTTTCGATAATCTTAAGCAAGACACTTGAATGATTGTAATCTTACAATTGAATTCAAAGAAGGAAAAAAAGAAAAATTTCCGAAGATTTTGCAAGTTTTGCAGCTGCAGACGATCAGCAGACAATTGTTTAGCCATTAAACATCCAATCAATTGTTCAGCCATAAAACTTTAACACTAAACAATTCGTACGGTTTTCTAAGCAACAAGACTTAAATATTTTTTTTATCCTTCAACAATAATATTTCACTAATGGTTTTATAGTGGTAACGAAAAAAAAAAA